GGAGGGAGGTCAGTGCAAACGGGGGGTCAGCCAGGGCACGGGATCCTGCAGGATCCTGCGAAGGCCCCATGTGGCTGACCCGGGTTAGCGAGCCGCTCGTGGCCGCGAGGCGGCCGCGCCTATCGGCTGACCCGGGTTTGCGAAGACCTGCGTTGCAGTGTTATTTTCTCCTGCACTGCAGTTTTTGGTTCCCTGCTGACCCGGGTCTGGATTGACCCGGATCAGAAGATCCCCGAGAGGCGGAAGTCGTCGGGGGCAACGGTAGGGGGGGGATACGGTAGGTTCGTGTTGTGTCGACCAGCGGCGACCCCGCCAGCGGCGTTCGATTTTGAACGCCGCGGGCGACCCAGAATCGTTCGATGTGGAACGATTTGGACGTTTCGGGAAAGGCCGATCGTTCAAGGTTGAACGATTCCCCCGGTGTCAGAAACCAACGCCGGGGTCGACACGACGCGAACCTGCCGTAGGCACAGGGGGGGATGCATCGGCCCCCAATCGCCCACGCATCGCCGGCAGGGGCCCGACGGCCCCACCCCGCCCAGGAGGGTGCGGACTCCCTAATTATCGGGTGCCGGTCGCCGACCTATCGGCGATGTATCGCCGGTTCCCGGTCGATGCATCCCCCCCTACGAAAGGTTCGCGTCGTGTCGACTGGCGGCGACCCCGCCGCTGGTGTTCAGGGTTGAACGCCGCTGGCCGCCCGTGATCGGCCTAATGTTGAACGATCGGGCGTTGAGGGAACGGCCGATCGTCCAAGGTTGAACGATCCACGCCGAGTCGAAAACCAACGTCAGGGTCGAAACGACACTGACCTGCCGTATGCCTGTCCCCCCCTGTCGTTGCCCCTCAAGTCGGGCGTGTCCCTCTCCAGGAGGAATCGATGCCAAAATAGCGAAAAAGAAGATCATCGGGGGAAGATGTTGGAGTATCTTGGGCCCTTAAGAAATATGCTTAGGGGTCTGTGTGAACTTTCGCCCAAATAATCCGCCTGTAGGGGCGCCTTCCTGCCCGAGGCTTACGTCGCTCCCATCATATTTGAGGGCCACAGCCCAGGAATGGTTTCGAGCGCCCCGAAAAGTATCGGAACGGCGTCGAGCGAGCATCGCCTCCCAGTGCCCGACACGTGAAAACCTCCCTGTCTCGGTGCCTTTTCGGTGCTCGAAGCTCTTTCTGGTGATCAAGGCTAAAGCACAGTCGGCCCGGATTAATAGGTCGACCCTGCCAGATCAAGGGCACCCCCTTGTGTCCTGTGCCTCGCGACCCGTGCCTCCTGCATTCCTGCGGCAGTGTGGCCCTCGGAAGGGTCTTGTGTCCTCTCGCGCGTCCTGTGCACTGAAGTCCGACTGTAGCTTGGAACATCATAACTCAGGAGAGGAAAAAACACACAGACACAATTAATCCTCGATTCCCCAGAAAATATAGGGCAATATGGGAAGTGGGGGGGAAGACAGAAACCCGGAAACTATGGGAAAATATGGGGAATCTTTTTATTTGTGTGTATTTATTCGTGTGTCCTGGGGCCCCTTCAGCGCGTCCTGCGCACTGAAGTCCGACGGCAGCTTGGAGCATCACAGCCCGAGGCGGAGCGCGCCGCCCTCTGCGCCCGGGGCCGGCGCGCCGCCGCGGCGGGGCGCCGCTGAGCGCCGCCTGCCGTCGAGCAGTGGCGAAGCGTCCTGGCTCGCCCACATACAGGCCAGCCACAACTGGGGGAGCGGTGGTCCTTACCCCCCTGGGGGACCCATCGATTTCGACACCCCTCTCGAGAGATCGTCGAGGCGATGGGTTGCCCCAGTTTGAACATATCCCTATCCCTAAGTTTGGCATCACCTCACCTCGATGCCGATCTTGAGGATTCCCTCAGTTTCTGAGGGCCTGTCCCTAAGATTGTCCTCGCTTTTTGCTCGCCCATCTTAGGGATAGGGATACGTTCGAGGCTGGTTATATATATACATATATATAGCCCTACCAAGCAATGCTCTAAGAGCCTTTTGTGGGTTCCACGAAAATGTTCTTGGAACCTTTCTGCTTGCGGAGCCCGTACTGTTTTATCACAGCATGGGGCTTCTGTTCTGAGAACATTGGTTCTGTTCGTAGAACCTGTTCGGGTTCTAGGAACATTTCGTGGTAGGACTACAGGAATGCCGGGGACGGTCGGTCCCTGCTCAATGCCGGCGCCGCGCACGCGCGGCCAGGGCGCCGCTGCGCGGACGGCGGCCGCAGCGTTCCGTGCTGGGAGCCGGCGGGGGGTCTCTGAGGTGGTGGCGCCCGGCTCGGGTTCCAGCCAGCAGGAAGCGGGGAGCAGGCCCGCCATCATCGAAGAAGCACGTCATGCACACGAACTGTTGGCGCTCTGCGCGGGTTTCTTGGATCCGCGCTGGGCCTCCCCGGCGGCGCGCCTCCGGCGCCGCCCCTGGCGCGCTCCGCGCGCCAGGGAGGGGGGGTCAAGCGCAGATCCAAGAAATCCGCGCGGAGCGCCAAACAGTTTAGTTATGTTTATGGCGTTTTTTCTTCTTCTAGAGCAGGCCCGAGGTTCCGGGCTCGTCTTAGAAGGTCTTGTGCGCTTTGCGGCCTCCGGGGCCGCCTTCGGGCTCCGGGGCCGTAGGAAAGGGACCGGGGACGCAGATTTGCACCACAGGCGGACCTAGGATTTCGCCCCCCTCGACTAGACGTAAATGTGACCTTTCGCCGGAGTGACCTTTGGTGCGGGCACAGGTGGGCCCCCAGATGGCCGAAAACGAAGCAGGAGCAGCGGCTTGCGCGCCCAGGCTCTTGTCTCCCCGTGGCCCACAAAAAGCCGCGCACCAAAGGTCACTCTTACCCAGGGTCACTCTTGCGTATATCGGGGAAGCGTAAGACCCGGGTTTGCCAGGACTCGGGTTCGCCATCGTTTTTTGACGACCGCGCCTCGGATTTTGACGAGGAGGAGTTTCGTGGGATGTCTGCAGCGGGAGGCCTCGTCAAAATGTAGGTTCGGCCTCGTCATTTGTTTGACGACCTCGTCGGGGATTTCCGAGTCCCCTGTACCCAGGTCTTACGTCCCCCCGAGTATAGCCGAGCCCCCCTCCTGACCGAGATTCTCTGGGGTCCCAACCAGTTCAGACCCCCCGGCCTCCTCAAACCTCCGCGGCGCCGCCGGGGCGCTGCCTGCGGGCGCCGCGCGCGCGCGTGCTCCGCACCGACGCGGGGCGCCGCTCGCTCGCGCGGCGCGCCACGCTGCGCCTGTGCAGCACGGGCAGATCCTCGCGCGCGGGCCCAGCGCTATAATAGTACTACCGATGATAGTAATACTACTAGTAATACTGAAAACACCACTTCTACGAATACTAACAGTATTAGTGCTACTACTACTACTACTACTACTACTACTACTACTACTACTACTACTACTACTACTACTACTACTACTACTACTACTACTACTACTACTACTACTACTACTACTACTACTACTACTACTACTACTACTACTACTACTACTACTACTACTACTACTGACTACTACTACTACTACTACTACTACTACTACTACTACTACTACTACTACTACTACTACTACTACTACTACTACTACTACTACTACTACTACTACTACTACTACTACTACTACTACTACTACTACTACTACTACTACTACTACTACTACTACTACTACTACTACTACTACTACTACTACTACTACTACTACTACTACTACTACGACTACTACTACTACTACTACTACTACTACTACTACTACTACTACTACTACTACTACTACTACCACCAGTAATAATTTGATTTATAGTATTAGTAATATGAGCAACACTAATATTATTCACAATAATGAATATGATACTACTACCGAATACGCTGTGCTCGGCTCCCAGGATAAGCCCGCCGCCCCCGTTCCCAGCGCCATGTCCAAGCGCCAGCGCGTCGTCACGACTGGTGACGGTCTGGGGAGGAGGAGGAGCAGGTGGAAGGGGAAGAGGACCGCCATGGCTAAAGAGGGGTCATGGTGGAAGGGGGTTTGAGGCCTCCCTGTCGGGTGCGGCCTCCCGGGTCTCCTTCTCGATGCCACTACTACTACTGCTACTATTACTACTACTACTACTACTATTACTACTACTACTACTACTACTACTACTACTCTACTACTACTACTACTACTACTACTACTTCTTACTACTACTACTACTACTACTACTACTACTACTACTACTACTACTACTACTACTACTACTACTACTACTACTACTATACTATTACTACTACTATTACTACTACTACTACTACTACTACTACTTACTACTACACACTACTACTACTACTACTACTACTACTACTACTACTTCTACTACTTCTACTTTCTACTTCTACTTCTACTACGACGACTACTACTACTACTACTACTACTTCTTCTTCTACTACTACTACTACTCCTACTACTACTACTACTACTACTACTACTCCTACTACTACTACTACTACTACTACTGCTACTACTACTACTACTACTACTACTCCTACTACTACTACTACTACTACTACTACTACTACTACTACTACTACTACCAGTAATATATTCTCTATAGTATTAGTAATATGAATAACACTAATATTGTTCACAATAATGAATATGATGCTACTACCTAATACGCTGTGCTCGGCTCCCAAGATAAGCCCGCCGCCCCCTTTCCCAGCGCCGTGTCCAAGCGCCAGCGCGTCGTCACGACTGGTGACGGTCTGGGGAGGAGGAGGAGCAGGTGGAAGGGGAAGAGGACCGCCATGGCTAAAGAGGGGTCATGGTGGAAGGGGGTTTGAGGCCTCCCTGTCGGGTGCGGCCTCCCGGGTCTCCTTCTCGATGCCAAAAGCGATTCGGGGGAAAACTTCACCCCAGGGAAAGACCCGCGGAAAAGTTGGGCCCGTAGCCAACAGGAAGAGAGGGAGGAAAAGGACGGGGAGGAACCTTTTCTTCACCACCCCTCCCCTTCTTTTTCACACTCCCTTCCGCACCACCCCTTCCGGGCCCTGCCCCCCTCTCGCCATCCTCTCTTTCTCTTGCCCTCCCCTCCCGGAGGGCGTGACGTGGAGCATCCGTTGCTCCGAGGTGCGAGGAGAAAAGAACCGACAGCGCGCCAGCTCCGGGACGCACAAGACAACCAGCCACGAGCATTACACCAGTCTCTCGTTATATCTCGCTCTCTCTCTCTCTCTTTTTCTCTCGCCTTCGTTCTCTCTCTCTCTCTCGCCGTCTCTCTCTCTCTCTCTTTCTCTGTCTCTCTCCCTCTCGCTGTATCCCCAATGTCTCTCTGTTTTGTTGTTCTCTCTCGCTCTCTCTTTGTCTCTGTCTCTGTCTCTTTCTCTCTCTATCTATTTCTTTGGCTCGTGATTCCCTGCCGTGGATCCCAATGCATTCGGCAGCGGCGGGCCTGCCAGAGGTGCCCGGCACGCACCAGGCAGGCCCCGCCACATTTGGGACTCGATGGCACCGGACTCGGCGCTGTCCGGAGTGTCCTGGCTGGAGCCGTTTTTTTGGATTCAAGTTTACTTGCATGGCGTTCGCCCTCTCTCCCCCCCCCTCGCCCCCCCTCTTCAAGCGAATACTAGCGTGCAAGTGCCTTTTGACTTGCGTGATTTCCGCGCCCCCCCCCCCCGGGGCTTGCTTCAGGCTCAGCCCCCCCCCCGTCCATGCAAGTAAACTTGCCAGAGTCTAAAAAAAAACAGGCTCCTGCCGAGCCCAGGGTCACATTATTTGCGATTGCCTTTCCGGGTTGAGTACTTTTCGTCTGCGTCAGCTGTGGATGTACTTCCTTCTAGAGGCACAGGAACAGGGAAGCAGCGGGAAGCTCGTAACGCACCTGGGGGTGGACAGAACCCCCAACAGTGACACGTCGATCAGTGAATTGTCCGTTTTCGGTGTTCGACAGGGCGCCGTGGCCGTTGGTTTCCAGGCTTGCGCCCGCCAGGTTTGGGCCTCAGGTCGTTGTCACTAAACCACGTTTTACTAAAGGGAGGTGTCTGTCCATCCCCGGCGCACACGCACGCCAGCGACCATTCCTGATCCATGTCGTGCCGAATCAGGGATCGTACGTGAGCATCCGTCACACGAGCGTGGAAGTCATGATGTGCTTGAACACATACTCCAGATCTCGTAATAAAAGGGAGGGGGTCTGGACCCTCCAAGACAAGCCATTTCAGACCCCCCCCCGTGGGAGAACCCTCCAAACCATCGTCCCCAGACCCCCCCAGGCCCTCCAAGATGGCCTGGAAGAGACACCCCCCGAAATGAGACCCCCCTCCCTTTATTGAGAAATCTGGGGTAGTCTTGTGCCCCAGATTGTGGATGCGATGGCCTCGGTTTCCGATCTCGACCCCTTGGGAGCCTCTCGGGGCCCTCTTGAGGCCCTCTGTGGGGGGCGTCTTGGGGCCGTCCTGGGCCTTGGAGCGATCTTGGGGGCCTCGTGGGCCGTCTTGGAGCGATCTCGGGAGGCTCGCGGGCCGTCTCGGAGCGTCGGGAGACCGGGAGGCGCGAGCGCTGAAATCCTCCAAAAACCACAGGAGAATCGAAGGTTGTTGCTTTGGGAGGGACTTCTTGGAGGCTCCTCTCGGAGCTCCATGGAGGCGTGTGGGGGACCTTTGGAGGCGTTCTGAGGCTGTCTTGGGCATCTTGGAGGGCTCTTCGGCCGTCTCGGAGGCTCACGCCTTTCTGGGGCCGTTTTGGAGCCCTGTGCGCCTATGTTGCGGCCATGTTGGGCGGGGTCACCGTCCTGGAGGCCCGCGCAACACACCTCATTGATGCCCAAGAGGGCCCGGAGGCGCCTGCGGGGAACCAGTGGCCCGGGCCGCTCATTACACCAGAGACGAAAC